TGCTTCCTGGTGGTCCCTGGATCCTCATGAGCTCCATTCAGTGTCAGGGGAGCTCACAGAAGGGACAGTCCTAGTTGAGGGCCATGTAGAGGATCTGTGACATGGTCTAGAAGGAGAAAGGTTGACAGTGTAGAGGGCTCAAGTGTCCAAGTTTCTGCCCCCTGACTCTCAGCTGGCTGGAGGAGGGCTCATTTCGACCATAGGGCACCTTTCCTATGAGCAGGGTCCATGGTCAACCCTTCTTCCAGGAGGAGAAGTGGAATGTTCCAGTCAATCTGCTGGACAGCACCTCTCTGGCCCTGTGCCAACACATGAGAGGGAGGCGGGACTCTTAGGCTTCAATGGACAGTTGGGGTCTATGATGTCCGGAAACGGCTCAATAATGACACTGAGTTACTTTAGCTGGTAACTTGGTCATGGTGTCCTGCCCTTTGTTACTTCCCGAACGATTCATACGGCTCCTTGCCCTGGGCCAGTTCTCAGCATGGCTAACCCTGCTATGCATGTCCCATTCACTTGCTTCAACAGGAGCCTGATGCTCCCAAGGGCTCCCACCCAGGTGTGCCGCATAGCACGCTGCTGTTTTCCTTCACACACATGTATCCAGGGCCAAGTCGGGTAGGAGCCTTCTCAGCAACCCCTGCCCCTCATCCCCTTCTATCTGGACCTAGAGTCTAGAGTTATTTTTCCTCTTCCTCGAGGCATTGTCTGCTTGTCAATACACCATGACAATCTCTCTCCAACCTCTTATCATGAGCGTCTGGGCTCCTGTATCACCTTCTCCACCCTCATTCTCTTCGACCTGAGCATCCATCTGGATGAACCAGTCTCTTCTCTCTTCCTGGACCCACTCGTCTCTGACAGAGTAACACGGCACCCATGGGGGAACCTGTCTCTATTAGAAGCACCTCGTCTTGAAAGAGCTAATTAAGTAATGAGGTCTCATCAGCATGGATCCTAATTGAACGGAAGAGGGAGGCTAGGTCACAGACCCATGCAGAAGAATGACCGTCTGGAGCTGTCCCTCGCAAGGCACAAAGGGATGCCTCAGGAGAAAACAGCCCTGTGGATCTCCTGACGGTGGACTTTCAGCCTCCTAAACTGTGAAGCAGTCTGTTCTCTTGTTAACCAGAGTCTGTGACACTTGGCCATGGCAGCCTGAGCTTGTCATTGCAGCACTTACTCAACTCAGATTCCAGCGTCATAGCCTCTGCTGGCCTACCTGTCTCCCAACTACAGGTACCCACCTTTCCCAAATCTGAGAAGCTGAAGTATGTGTGTGTGTGTGTGTGTGGCCCCAAACATTTCAGAAATCTCCACATACAGAGGAAGACCCTTTCCCATTTCCCAAGAGGCTATTTACTTATCTCTCCAAAGAACCCCACCCTCACCTCTAACTCACGCTACGGTTCTGCCCATCCTGACCAGGAGCCACCCCTGGGAGCCTCCTTACCCTTCACCATGCCAGTCGTGGACCCTTGGGGATGGGTCTCGGACCTAACAAAGGTCTTCACCATCTCCTGCTTTCACCTTTGTGAACATTCCATGCCCTCGATCCCTCTCCTCACTGTCAATTTTCTTTACCCCGTTCCGTCAAGGCACTTGCCTGCCCACAACTATGTGCTTGTCTTTCCTACTAATACCGCTTCCCTGGCCCTTACCCTCTTCTGGAAATGTTCCACTATTCTGCCTTTTTTTTTTTTTTTTTCCATTTCCGAGTTTCTGAACAGTCACCCACACATGCTGGGTTTGGTCACCAACCACTTATCAACAATCCCCTGCTGCTGCTTCTACCCACATATGTACTGGAAATTTCTACCCTCTCATCATGGCCTCATCAAACTCACGGACAATGCAAAGTCAAGGTTGAAAAGCTCCTTTCTTAAGCTCTCAACAGCCTTCCATGTGACTGAATGCTCTCGCCTCCTCCCCTTGCAATCTTTGACTCGGCTCCTGGTTTTCCTGTGCTTGCCAGGCTGTTTCTCGCTCCTTTTGCCTTTATCGACTTGACCCCCTGAGACCCTGTTCTGCTTCTGGATGATCTCATCCAGGCCCATGACTTTAAATATCACTTAGGTTCTGATGCCTCTCAAATTTACAACTGTTTCTCTCTCTCTCTCTCTCTCTCTCTCTCTCTCTCTCTCTCTCTCTCTCCTTCCTGGAGCTGCAGACACATATATCTAACGTGACACCTCTACTTAGAGGGCTCAGGGCGCCTCAAATCAAGTATGCTTAGACAGGATCTCCTCAGCTCAGTGAGTGATCCCAGTGTCCACTCGGTGGTTCAAATAAGAAACTCAGGGCTCTCCCCTTCATCCCTTTCCTTCCTGACAGGCCTTGTGACCTGTCTAGACTCCCCAAAGCTTTCCACCCCACTCTCACCCCTTGCCCACGCTGCCCGGAAACAGATATACTTTCTGGAATGGCTTCCCTGTTTCCCTTCTGTGGTGGTCAGGGGAAGAGGGTGCCATTCTGGGAGGAATTGGTTTCCTGCTGTGCCGAGGACACTGCCAGTGGCGCTAATTGGATTAATTAATTTGCCCAAGGGGAGGGGTGTGTGTGTGTGTGTGTGTGTGTGTGTGTGTGTGTGATTCCTTTCTGTGGAACTTCCTTTAAAAACAGCCCTTCCATCCAGAAAGCCAGATCAAGTGCCATTAACAAATTAATTCTGATTAGTGCTGCCCAAGCACTCAGACCTTAAGGCAATCCCGTTCAGTCATCCTGGGCCTGGCCGCCTAATAAAGTGGGAACTATCTGGGCAGCAGAGGTGATTATTTTGATGCCTGTCTCCATCCCCAGAGGGAAAAAGAGTAGGATGTGATTTCACCACAGTCTCCCGAGGGACTTAGCTACTTTCAAATTCTAAGTTATTAATTCCCCAACATGGCAGTCATGTCTGTGAAAATGGGTTTGGGGCACACCTTTCTGTAGCCCTCTATTTAGGACCAAATATACAGCAGGTGCTCGATATTTGGATGAAACAATAATTAATTGGTAAGTGATAAATATGTCTGGGCCCAGTATCCTTGGAAGGCCTTTGTTGTTTTATTTAACGTGTGTAATCGCACTGCTTCTGTGGTTGGCCTTGTAGATATGGAAGTTAAACCATGAGGTCCCTGTCCTACCAGGCCTTCTAGATGGTGGCAGGGAAGCAGAGCACTGACCAGACAAGAGCAGAGCTTCCTTCAGCTTGGCAAGTCATTCAAGATAAGAAAATAGGTCAAAAGGATTGCAGGAATGGTTTAGGGGTTAAGAGCAATTACAGCTCTTTCAGAGGACTTGAGTTTGGTCCGGGATCCACCCGTGTATGGTGGGTCATAACTGCCCATAACGCCACCTCCAGGGTTCTAGTATCTTCTTTGCATCTCTATGGACACCTGCACTCATGTGCCCATATACCCACACACGTGGCTGACAGTAATGAAGAAAGCTTAGGGAGGCCTGCAACCTTGACACCAGTTGAACTTGCCACGGTACAAGGAGTCTACCAGGTCTGGAGGAAGAACTTTCTAGAAAGAAGAACTAGAAAACACAAACACTTATCACCTGAAAGCCAGACCCCCATCCACCTGACCAGCGCAGACACCTGTTTCTCTTCTTGTGAGTCCAGGGCAATGTGTCCCTACAGTGTGACTGACTTTGTCCACACTTATCTATCTGCCTAGGCGACATCCTCTGTCCCACCTGCCTCTCTCCCTCATAGTTTCCCAAAAAGACCTTTCAAGTCCTATTTGGAAGTGTTTCCTGTGTTCTCCAAAGCCCTGGGGCATTCCTGTGGCACCTGCTCTCCCTGTTCTTCATATGGGTAAAGATGCCGTTCTTGTGTATGTGAACTTCCTCTTCATGCCTTCTCCTATCCCTGAGCTGCATGGGGGCAGAGGCTTTGTCCTTTCTGACTCTCACTCCCCAGGTGTGTGAGAGGTTCCTCAGTTATACACACACGGGCTGAATTATTGACTGGTCCTTTGCAATCCCTAGCAGTGGGTGAAGACACCCAAAAGTCTGGCTTCTCGCTACACGACATCCAACATAGGCAAGAAAGGAAACCATTCATTCCTCCAATGAAGGCTGGCTTTGGTTCCAAAAGTAGTTTCTAGAAGATGATTAGAAACTTAAAACTGGGGGTAGAGAGACAGTTGATAAAAATTGATAAAACATTGATAAAAATGGTTGCTTTGCAAGCACAAAGGACCAGTTTGGTTCCACTGAAACCATGTAAAGTTAAAACAAAAACCACACTGGGCATAATATAACACACTTGTAATCTCAGCATGGGGAGAGATGGAGGCAGATGGATCTCTAGGGCTTTCTGGCCAGCCAGTCTTGCTTCCTTTCTGAATTCCAGGACAGAGAGAGATTATGTTTCAGAAAAGTGTGTGTGTGTGTGTGTGTTGTAGGGGGCACCTGATGAATGACAGCTAAAGTTGTTCTCTGATCTTCACGTGTAGACATGCACACATGTGCACCTGCACACACATGAACACACACACACACATACGGGGGGGGGTGTAACTAGTTTTCTAATAGGGTTGTTTAGAAGCATCATAAGACCAGCCAGAGGAACATGCATCAGGTTGAAGATGAAAAGTCATATGACCAAGAAACCAGGTGAAGAAGGAGCCCAGCTATACTTCCAGAGGGAGGCCCTATACCAGATTCCCATCTGCCTTCTCTTCCAGGGACTCCAGTCTCCAAATGAACATTACACAGCCCACCAGTAAGACATAACTGCTGACTGTCATCAGGACTTGCTATTCCCAGATGACCCACAATTCTAGGGCTCCTTTCTCTCATCAAGAAAGCTAGAGAGCTAGGGTATCATCACATAGACTGCAAAGGCATAACAGGACCCTTCTGTTTCAAGGGATCTCCCCACTGTCTCATCCTGAGCTGGAGAGAGTCCTGAGCTCCCCGCTATGGCTAATGGAGACAAGACTGGAGGAGGAAAAGCTGATGGGCAGGAGGATGGGATGGAGGATGGGCTGGGTGCTGCAGCTAACCTTTTAGGAGGACCATCCTGGCCTTGGCCCACTCGCTCCTCCCGTCTGAAGTCAGCAGGCCGATTGGAGGCAAGCGTTCATCCTCGTTGGACGCCATTTTGACTATCTTTCTCAACTGAGTGAACAGATCACCCTCACTGAGACGGCGGAAATTAATGACAACATCCAAGACAAAGAACTGTAGGGGAAACAGGTCAAACACATCACTAGTGGCAGCCAGCCCAAGGCTCCAGACCTTCATGGAGCTCAGGCTCAAGGTTCCCAAGGTGGTTAATGTTTCTGAGTTGTCTTATTTTGGAGAGCACCCAAATATGTTGACTGTACTTGATTCCAAGCTCTCCCTAACACAGACCTGTTTAAACCTAGCTACAAGAAAGATTCTCTTTCTTTCCTTTTTCTTTCTTTCTTTTCTTTTTTTGGTTTCTAGCACATGCATCATCGTGTTTGCAGAGAGTCAAAGTATAAACTGGCACAACCACTGTGGGAGGGCTGCGTCACTGTCAATCAAAACTAGCAGTGCTTGTCTCTGACTCAGCAGCTGCACTTGTGTATGCAGAGTTTAGCCTAGGGCTTAGGGAAGCACATTCATGTGTACCAGAAGAGTGGGAGATAGTGTGTGCGAATCAGACTTTTTGTATTGGCAAAACAATAGGAAGAGCCTGGGTGTTCTTTTGGAGTAGACTGGCTAAGTAAAATGCATTGCACAATGAACAAGAGCAAACAGCTACAGGCAGAGCTTTGGGTACAGATCTAAACAGTACTAACAACACCAACAACAAACCAACAGTTGTAGACAAATATTAAAATAGAAAACCAACGCACAAAGCACTCAGTATACCTGTGCACATGCGTCTGTGTATGCCTGAGCTTGGCATGTATGCCCTGTGATGCTGAGATGCTGTAGCTTTGAAAGCCAGGGCCTTGCGTGGACTTGGTAAAACAGAATCATTCTTGACACAGCCTGCTGCCTCCTTTCCAGCATATGGACATGAGTAATCGCCCCACCCGCCACCCTCAGGGAGGTCCATGAAGTCTGGTCTATGGTTGTTTCCAGAAGGCTTGAATAACGTGCCGTATGGAGGCTAAGAAATGTTTGGTTTGACTTTCTTTGAATGAAGGTGAAGAAAGGCTTTCACTTTATGACTGGCTGCTCAGAGTATCACGTGACTGGGAAGCATCCTGCTAACTTTGAAACCCTCAAACAGTGGTCACAGCTACGCTCAGATAATAAACTTTCCCCAAGCTCACAATTTACTGAAAGGAGCCCAGGAAGAAACCATTACACAATAAGTTGAGAGGGTGGATAGGGAGGCAGAGATGGCTGCTAAACTTAGACTTTCAATGTAAAAAGGCAGAAAGACACCCGCCCCCCGAACCCTACCTACTTTTTGTCACAAGAAATATTTTGTGAACCATCAGCATACAGGATAGACAGTGTGCTGGGTACTGCGACAGGGTCAGTAGCCTTCATGCTCAGCTTGTTCCTTTGCATGGGGACCCTTACCAGCCCTGTGGAACTGTGTCTGAAATCCTGTACTTTAGGCTATAGAGCCTAGCCTTGGGCAGCTGGTAGGACTTGACATCCTTCTTCCTCTTACACACACCATCAGCCTCCCTAAACCTCATTTTCTTGCCTGTCAATGCAGACTCAAAGGCCTCCTCTACAGCATCATTGTAAATAATAAAATGAAGCTAATAAATGTAAGTTCTGGACCTGCAGTCTTACACATGGAGGTCTCTTCTGTTAGTTCATACTCTGTCCATCCATCTGGTCTCCAGGAAGGACAGGGACTCTATGGAAATGAATAGCTTTGGAGATGAAGGCCCACTAGCTGGGTCTTCAGCCTGACGGTTTCTCAGGGATAAGAACCGGGGGGGGGGCATTCCCTAACTGAAAATTCTTTTCATTCTTAAAATACAGTTGCCAGAGAGAAATGGATTGAGTAGGGAGTCCTACCTGGGGGGCACCATGCCCCAAGCTCAGTGAATGACTCAGGGAACCAGCCTGTGCCCTTGTGAAGGAGTGGGAATGGATGGGCACTGTATGCCCCCTGCGCACGCCACTCTTTGCTCCCCACCCTCTCAGAGTCTGAGAGCCCGTGACAATGGGCCACTTACCTGGTTGCGGCAGGCCACAATGACGTGCTCAGGCTCAGGCATGACGCTGCTCTTCTGGGCCACCAGTGTGTCCTGGGTATGGCCAGGAAGCCGGTAAGAGGAGAAGAGCCTGTAGTACTGCTTCATACAGAGGGGCTGCCCTGAGAGTTGGCCCTTGGCCGAGTCCGTAGGGAGGGAGTGGCTGGAAGGGGAGAGCACAGAGAGGGAGGCAGGCAGGTGTGAGAGGATGGAGGAGAGAAGGCACTGGGATGGACTCTATTGTTTTTGCATCAGACCCAGGGCTGTGTGCATACTAAGCAAATCTGCTACCCCTGGGCTGCTACCCCATGCTTTCTTATGACTAGGCTAGAGGTGTACCAAACGTGCGACTGCACTATGACAGAGCTCTTCTTCAGCTTGTGAAGTCATGGAATGTTCCATTTCCCCAAATCTCCACAGCTCCACCCTCATCCCATTCTCAAGCAATATATGGGAAATTTTTGCCTTTTAACCAACCCCCATGCCTTTGTTTACACTAATTTTTTCTCGGCACACCTTTCTCCCCACCCTTGCACTCCATTGTCTTTTTAGAAAACTCCTCCTTCAAGACTTGATTCTTTATTAGCTCGTCTTGAAACCTTCTTAAAGTTCAAAGTAGAAAGTTCTTTTTGTCATATGGTTTATGAATAATATATCTATTATTCCATCTGTCCACCCACCTATCCACCCATCTACCTACCCATCCATCCATCCATCCATCCATCCACCCACTCACCCATCCACCTACCCATCCATCCATCCACCAGCAAGCCATCCATCCATCCATCCATCCATCCATCCATCCATCCATCCATCCAACATTATGCATGGCTAAATCATCCATCCACCCATTTGCCTATTTATCCACCAAATCTATCAGTTCATCCCTGTATTCATCTCTCCAAATATTCATCCATCTATCATTCATTCACTACCACCATTACCCTTCCATCCATCTATCCATCCATCCACCCGCCCATCCATCTGTCTATCATGCATTTTTCCATCTACCATTCAACCACTCACACACCCACCATGCACCTATCTATCCGTATATACATCCACCATCCTACCACAACCATCATTCATTCATACATACATACATACATCTGCTGTGGAATATTATTTTAACTAGGCAAAGAAGTGTTACACTTGTTTATGCTGCAGAATATGACTTTAACTGTGTAAAGGTGTGTTGCTTTTGTTTCTGCTGCATTTGTTTAATCATAAAGATGTGTTGCGTTTGTTTCCCCTTGCTAAGGCACCTGATTGGTTTTTAAAGGAGCTGAATGGCCAATAGGTAGGCACGAGAGGGATAGGCAGGACTTCCAGGCAGAGATAATAAATAGGAAGGAAAATCCAGGCTTGAGGGAAGAATGAGAGAAGGAGGAGGAAAGAACGAGGGAGATGCCCAGGGTTAAGCCAAGCAGCTTCCAACCAGCAGGCATGAGAAGCAGTGAAGGTAAGACATACAGAAGGAAAGAAAAAATAAAAAACAAAAGGTAGATAAAGAGAAACAGGTTAATTTACATTAAAAGAGCTAGCCAGAAGCTAGCCTAAGTAAGACTGAGCATTCAAAACTTAATTCAAAACTATTACGTCTCTCTGTCACGATTTGGGAGCTGGTTGGTGGCCAAAAGAGAAAGCCTGGTACATCCATCTACCTAACATCCACCCATCATATGCTTATCCATGTGCTATCTGGTCATCCATCCATCTACAGTCAATGCACTCATTCTTATACCTCTGTCATGCATTAACCCAGTGGTTCTCAACCTGTGGGTCAATGACCCATGGAGGGGGCTGTCAAACAACCCTTCTACAGGGGTCACCTAAGACCACCAGAAAACACAGATATGTACATTATGATTCATAACAGTAGGAAAATTACTGTTATAAAGTAACAATAAAAATAATTTTATGGTTGGGGGATCAATATAGCATAAGAAACTGGTTTGCAGCATAAGGAAGGTTTAGAACCATGGCATTAACCCATCCACACATATGTCTATTCATCCACACATTAACACGTATGTTTACATCCATTTATTACATATGGATATTATCTATCTATCCATCCACCCATCCATTCACTAATCCACCATCTATCTGTCTTTTATGGGTTGAATGAGAAATGCTTCACCATAGGTTTGGGCAGGAGTCCAGGGCTAGGGGGGAGTTTCCTGGAGGCCTGCTTGACTGCGCTGAGCCCAAAGGGTAAGAAGTTTCCAGGCAGATGGGCTAGGTGGAGTGCCCACAGCACTGCCACACAAAGCGAGGATGTTCCATGGAAATGTCACGACTGACCTGTGCTAAGATGAATGCCAGGATCCCAAAGCACCTGTAGCAGTGCTCGGGATTTTACGCTAATTGAATTCAATACTAAAAGATGCGGCCTTACATTTTACACCTTCATAAGCTTTGTCTAGTGACTACTTTTTGGTTGTACTTCACAAAATTTGAAAATCAAGACCCTTCTCCAGAGATAGTTTGAGACTGACCAGTGGGCCAGGGGACGGCAGAAAGTAAGCCGGCAGGGCTGCCACCAAGTGAAGAGTGAGGGAGAGGCTACAAAAATGAGCAGGGCCACCGGGTAGGGGTTGGCAGCTTATGTTTGGGACATTAAAAAGGCCCTGGGGCTTCAACTTGCAGGAGCATGATTTGAATTCCATTTGCTTTTCTTTCTTTTGGGGCTAAGGGTTGAAGCTAGGGCCTCACCCACGCTAAGCACACACACCATCACGAAAACACAGCACTCTCAGCTCTGACTTTTGTATGTGTGTGTGTGTGTGTGCATGTGATTTGGTTTGGTTTTGTCAGTAGCAGGGACTAAACCCAGGGCCTCACCCATGCGAGGCAAGCACTCTAGTGCTCTACCACTGAGCTGTATTCCCAGCATGTCCTGTCCTGTTATTCTTAACGGCCTAACTTCTATAGGGAGAGGACCAAGTCTGTCCCTGGAAGCACCAGGAAGAAGGCTGTAGTCAAGATGGGGAAGCCATGTGGGCCAGCTAAGAAAGATGTTTGGAAGCCAGCTGGGGTAGGTGGTAGCCACTTCTGAGCACCATGGATGTCACGGGGCAGGGGGAGGAGGGGAGAGGGTAGGGAGGAAGAGTAGCCACAAGAGACTCGTGGATCTGCCAGTCCAGGTGTACTACTGCCTGTACTGAGAAAGCAGGATGGGGGAGGGTTGAGTGCACATGGAAGAAGCAAACAGAGCTCACTGGGCCCCTTTGTAATAACCAGGAGATGCCCCAGTGGGGATGCCTCCTGTTGGGAGCAGGTAAGAGGCCTAATTTCCCACCACCTTCCCCCATCAACACACTAAAAAAGTAAATGACCGAAGTGTCCTAGCCAGGCACTATGGGATTTGCGAGTACAGGACACAGGAACCTTTATGTGAGCTTGGATGGAAACAGATGTCTGTGTGTATGCATGTAATGTGCTCTCTCTCTCTCTCTCTCTCTCTCTCTCTCTCTCTCTCTCTCTCTCACACACACACACACACACACATCTGCATACTCGTGTGAGAGTTGGGAGTCACGCCTGCTATGATGGATGGCTCCATGGTCCCTGGGCTCTGCTGCCAGGGTGGGAATCTTCTCTCCTCTGCTCTGCAGTAAGGGTGCTGAAAGGGGCAAGCTCTCTGAAGACAGAGATGGCGTGTGAATGAAGAATGCACTCTAGAAGGCGATCCAGAAACACGGCAGAAAAGGGCAGCCCAGTATGGATAGAGAGCTGTCAGACTGGCCCCAAGTCAACATTCCTACCACTGTCTGAAACAACTCAGATTCAAGTGTGCCCACCCCGGGGCCAGAACCTCGCCTCTCTTCCCCTCTTCCCCAGAGGGAACGTGTGTCTTAGCTTCTGCCCCAAGGATGAGTAAACACTGACCAGGATCCACACAGAACAGAGTGAAGGTTACCCCTGTGCCCTCCTTGCCCTTCTTCTTCTTAGCTGTGTGGCCATGGATAAGTTGTGAAACTCCTCTGAGCTTCCTTCCTTGTCTATGCATAGGACATTGCTCTCCACCCCTCCTTCTTCCAGCCCCTGTGGCTCTTTGCTCTCCCAGTGTCTCTTGGGCCCTGGGATTGACTAGGAGAGGGACCTTCCTTCTAGAATGGAGAACTTACTGCCTGAGCAGCTCCAACCACCTATCAGAGTAGCCCATGTTCACTAAGTTGGGGAGCGTGTGGACACTAAGGCTCGAAGCAGGGAGACTATCATCCTGTTGGCATCGTTTCCCTTATCACCACCTCCTCCCACACTGCTTCCTTCTCCACCCTTCCTGGGAGCTCCAGACCCAAAGTGTCTAATTCATGGCACAGGCAGAAAGAAGAACAATTTCAAAGGTCAGAGGAAGGCAGTGCCTACTCAAGGAAAAAAGAATCCTTGATGGCCAGATGGGCTGGGCTCAGGCTATCCTGATGCTGGGCAGTGGGCAAGGGACACCACACAGCTGGATAAAAGACTAGCTCCCTGCTCTCTATAGCTCCCTGCATATCTCTCAGCAGGAAGACAGATGTGGGAGGAGACTGCCAAGCGGGGCCCTCCCCCTCCCAGGCTGGGCGCCCGGTATACCTGTCCAGCAGAGCCTTGTAGCTGAGCACACCAGAGATGAGGTTGGCTGCAAACCTGCAGGGACAAGGAGAGACCTCGGAGTTCTGTGAGCCCATCACACACTCCCCGTCCCCCACCCCCTCCTCTCTCTCACTTTTCCTTCCTCCTTCCTAACTTCCTCCTCCCTTCCTTTCTCCTCCAGCACTCTCCCTGCCCCTCCCTCTGCTTCAAACCCACTCATCTATCGCCTGCCATATGCCAGGCCCCGTGCGCACTAATGGGATGTGGGTCCCGCCGCCCTTCCCCCCAGGGCTGTCAATCCCGCCACAGTCTTGGATTAAAAATGGTCCTTCGGTAAGGACTGGGAATGGCTTCACTCTGGGGGTGGGGAGAGGAAACCAGAATCACCTTGAGGAGGAAGAGGTGCCCACAGGAGTGGTAGGAAAGGGAAGGTGAGGGGTGGGGTTCCCCTGGGCAAGGCCAGCCCTGTGTGACTGGATCTTCTGGGAAATGCAGTCTCCTGGGCAAGCCTGCAATTTGGATCCTTTTAGTGGCTAATGAAAAGGAAAGTGAGCCCTAGGAGGAAAGCCTCAGGGACCGGAGCCAGGGGACAGTGTCATCTTAACTGTCCACGGATGATGAGGCCTGGCTTAATTGCATGGGGTGGGGGAAATGCCCCTCAGATGCAATGTGGAGAACTGTCCTCAGATTCTATCCACTCTTGTTCTTTCTTCTCGGGGGAAGGGGGGCAAGTGGGAGCCTGGCTGTGCCTATGTTCACCCCCATTGAAACATTAAGAGGACGAAATTCTGACAGATTCCAAAAGGGAGGCCCTTCTTCCCTGCCCCTACCCACCACTGCCACCATTCTCAGGGCACCTAGGGGCCCTTCCAGCTGCTCACTGAGCTCTGAAATTGCGGCAGATGGCAGCTGTGCAGGCAGGGAGGGACGTCCCTCCTCCAGGAGTCTGTTTGGAGCAGGGCTCCAGGGGGCACCTGGAGCAGTGTATCCCAGTCAGGACTGCTTTTAAATGATAACTCATAGACCTAGCTGAGTCAAAACCACTGTGTGGGTCCCTGGGGCCATGACCCCCCATTAGTGCCATCAAAGAAATGTGTTTGGGGGCAAGACTATGAGCTTATTACTGAGAACCACCATGCCTAACCGCCCTTCTGGCCTGATGGTGCCAGGAGCTAATGTCTTGTACTGCTTGGCCCAGCAAGTTCAGCCAATGCACAAGCTCTGGCCTCTCCTTCCTGGCATGAAACAAGGCCCCAAATCTCAGTGGGTTCCTCTGCTGCGTACCCAGTGGCACCATGGCCTCACCTCAGCTGGTCATTGGTGTCCTGGAAGGGCTGCCGAGCAAAGATCACAGCAGGGCTAGAGTTGACTGGCAGGGCCAGGCGGTTATTGAGATACATGTCGTTCAGCCAGTATTCAGATACCTGCCGAGGAGCACAGGGGAGGGGGTGCATCACATTTGATCCCCAACAAACCTCTCATAAACAACAGGCACCAAAGGTCATCAGCCCTCTTCTGACTACCCTGGATCAGCATCCAGCCCTGTGGATCGATCGATCATTCATTCATTCATTCATTCATTCATTCACAAATGCACTAAGCCCCAGCTTGTGCTGAGCCTGCACCTTGCCATTCATCCACGCCTGTCCTTTATCTCTACCCCATATTGTTTCCTTTATTCCTTCCTCTTTCCCCATCTTTAGTGATAACATCCCTGCCCTGCCTGTTCTTGTCGTGCCTCAGTCCTACCTGTCCCCCGACTCTGCCTCTCAGATCATCTCTATCCCACTTTTTCCCTTCTATCATCCTATCCCAGTCTCCTCCCAGTCCCACCGACCTATTATCCTCACTCACATCATCTCATCTTCCTCCTTCCCCCTCCAGGGATCTCCTCACAGCTCCGTCTAGCCATCCTTACCCAGTTAGCTGTCTTCTTCTGCCTCTCCAAGAGTTTTTCCTGCAGAGTCTCACCCAGGCCACCAGGGGCCCCAAATCGCTTCACGATGGCCTGGCTCTTCCTGAACTGTTCCTCGGGTACCAGGTGTTGCATGCACTGCAGGTAGGTGGCCAGCGTTTGCTGCAGTGGGGGCACTGGCAATTTGGGTAGGTCCTGGAAAAGAGGGTTCATGGGCACTCACTCCCTTTCCTTAATGTGGTCCATACTTGTCCTTGAGTTGATGCCAGGACAGGTCTCATTCTGTCTTATCCACTCCCCATTCTGGAACCCGTTTACTGGGTTTAGTTCAGCACTCACGTAAATTAAAATCCTCCTGTTTGCTGTCCCTGGCACCGTACTATGCCTAGGTCTCAGGGAGGCACAAAACGCAGATGATAGAGCTGGACTCACACCCTGCCCCTGCCGTTGGTATCCACAGGTCCCGGTTCACACCCTGACCTTGATGCTGTCAGTTGTATGTCCTTGGGAAAGTTTCCTCCTCGGCAGGGGCAGGGCTCTTCACATGAAAAACGATGCTCTCACCGGATGGAAGGGATGACAGATGTGGACGTGCTTACAGCCCATAAAGGATGGGTCTGGGATGAAAGATCATTGGCGAGACTGCTGGCTGCTGGTCACTCTTCCCAGCTGTGCTCCAGGGCCTGTGAGCTCTCTTACAGAGAGAGCCAACTGGGTTAGGATAGCATTGGGTGGGACTCAGCTTCCTGGGGGTAGTGGTTACTTCTGCCCTGTGCTTCTTGGTTTGTGTTTCCAGGTGTGAAACCCAGGCAGGGGGCTGGTTCCATGTGGGGACTGGAGTCAGGTAGGGGACAGTGGAAATCTTTCCTGCCCAGATCTCTCCAAGCCTTGGGTTGTTTTCACCCATAGGATATGAACAGTAAGTCTTCCTACCTCATGGATCGCAAGAAAACAAAAAAAGTAACATTCTCCGATGAACATCTACTGGGGGTGGTTAACTGGCTCTAGCCATCCAAAGGGAAGCTCAAGAAGACATCTGTGGTTTCTGGGCTCCAGGGGAGGTGAGGGCAGAAAGGAACCCTCACTGGAATCCTCCCATAGGGGCATGGCCTGTTCAGTTAATCAACCATGTTTACCTAGGGGTCTTGTGTGCTTATGTCTTCAATGTGTTTCATAGCCAGGGCGAGGATTTCTGTCCATACGGATGAGAAAACTGTGACCCATAGTGTGAAGAGACTAATCTCTAGGTCCCATCTTAATTTTCAGTCAATGTGTTCTCCCCTCTCCTCCCCTACCCTGTCCTGCTCTCCCCTCCCCTCCCCTGTTCTCCCTTTTCTGCCCTGCCCTATCCTTCCTTGCCCTGCCCTCCTCTTCCTCAGGGCCTTGCACGTGTTAGGTAAACGTTGCTGTTAAGCTACAGCCCTAGCTCAGGTCTCCTCCATTCTCTGGGGATTTCCTCCCCTCCCCTTTCTGCTTTCCCTCCTGTTTCCCTCTCAGCCCTTGATGACAGAGAGGCCATCTTTAATGCCATTGCTTCAATTGTTGGCACACAGCAGGGTGCCTTCCTTCAGGGGTTTCTTGTCTGTGAGGCGGTGAGTCAAGTTTCTCCAGGGTAGTCAAAGGCTTGCCTGCCCACCGCCCACCCCAGTGGGCTGCTGAAAGCACCTGTCTTCTCCTGAGGCTCAGCCCTGGGTGGTGGCAGAACAGGTACCGATGCATGAATATGTCCTCACCTGTCCCATCCTGTCTCTGGAACTCACTGCTCTGGCTGGAGGTGGAACGCTGCTGTCCCGGGGAAGACTACAAATACAAGGGTGGGTCTGGACAGTTTAGCCCACTTCAGGCCAACCAGGTTGACTTCCCCTCAGCCACTCTTGTTCCTCCTCTTATCTTTATGGGGGTCTGTGTGGATGGGGCAGGCAAATATCTCCAGGAAGCATGGTCGTGTGGCCAAGAGTGGTGGCAGGTTTGACTAGAGTGTCTGGCTTTCACTTGTGCAGTCTGGGCGAATGGGAAGCAGTGAATGGCAACACGCACAAATCTCAGTTTAGACATCTCAGCTCCCGGCACGGTTCCTCCTGTGACTGTTGCCGACCTCCTGCCTTGTGAAGACTCAGAATCCTGCAACCTGCATATTTCCTTGGCTGGCTCCTATGAACCAGGCCTTGCACTGGTCTTAGAGACAGAGTCTGTCCTCCAGGAAGCTTCACCCCAATCAGTGCAGGGGAGGAAGAGGAACAGGCTGTAGCAGCAGAAGCATTGGGGGCAATGTTAGGAGCAAGTTCAAGGACAGAAGACTGAAAGTTCTGATAAGGCTGGCAGAGGAGCAAGAAGGGTGTGGCAGAGGGGCCAGCTCATGTAGGAACTTGAACTGAGATGCACTGCTCTATCTCTGGAAGGTTAGGTGCAGCGGGAGGGAGGATGCCTTCTCAGGGAGGCTTTCCCAAAAGGGCAGTGTTGTTTCAAGGCAGTGGAAAAGATGATGCTTAATGTTCCTGGGCCGAGGCAGTGGCTGCAGTTGGAACTGGGATGTGCCAGGGCTTGAGGAGGGGATTCAGCTTTGCCTAGGCAAGCATGCTGGACTTGAAACCATCTGAAGTAAAACTTGGGGTACAGTGAAGCTGGGAGAGGGAGATGGCATCTGACTGGTGCTGGGGCCTCCCCTTAGACTTGCGATTAAGCAGTACGGTCACCTGCATTCCCCAGCAGCCTAAGGCTATAGCTGGCATGTAGAAACTGCTTTTGCCCCAAAGCATTGATTCCTCACTTGGCCCACAAGGTAATTAAGAATGAGATGAAAGCCTGGCACCTTGACCTTCATGTTGAGTGTGTTCCATTTACTTTGGGTCAGACTCCTGCCTGGTTCTGCATGAAGGCACTATAACCACTCAAGGAGTATCTGTCTTTAAAAACAAAACAGCAACAACAATACCTAACCTAACTCAGCCCTCTGCATGGCTGAAATTAACCTAGCTAGGTGATGGTGGCACACACACACTTTTAATCCCAGCACTTGGGAGGCAGAGGCAGGCCGATCTCTGAGTTCGAGGACAGCCTGGTCTACAGAGCGAGTTCCAGGACAGCCAGAGCTACCCAGAGAAACCCTGTCTCACAAAAGCAAAACAAAACAAAGAGGAACTTTACCATCTCTCACAGAGTTTCCAATGCTCCTGAACCTACAACGGTGCCTAACTCTCTCCGGTCATTGTTCTAAACACCAGTTACCTTGTCATTCCCCAAACAGCACCAGCCAAAGCCTTCCAGAACAGATGCTCCTTCAAATCAGGGAAATTACCCGTAATAAGGAAGCTTCCCCTGGACCAGGAAAACTTGGAAACCAAACTACTTCCCCCAAATGGCCACAGAAGCAACTTCTGACCATCTTGCAGAATCATAGGTAATGATCAACAAGACCACATCTTGATCTGGATCAGGACTGTTGAATTGCACATATTTTTGCTCCTTTGCTGGTTCTTCCTCGAAAACCTCCAGTTTATGAGCATGCCTTGAAGACAGAATCACTGGACCCCTTTACCTGTTCATCTTCCCAGTGTGTCAGTTGCTCGTCTCTTTTATCTGCCTTTTGGTCATATTGCCTCCTTAATTGATATATTAAGGACAGATGGCTCAGTATGGCCTGTAGGAACTACTGGAACCAGAGCTCCAATAATAGGGCTACTAACACTTCAGACCCAATCAGACCTCTCTAAAGAACAGGACAGGGCTGGACTCTAGCCTTCTGCCTAGGAAAATACAGAGCTGGGGAATAATGCAAGGGCCGGTTCCCCTCAAGACTGCTCTGGGATTAAGAGTGTGCACGAGGAGAGACGGGTTAAAACACATGGCTCAGAAAGAACTCACCAGCTCCTCCTCGCTGCTAGAAGGCTTTGCAGCCATCTTTTGGGAGACCTTTTCCAGGATGGGCATCTTGGTGATTCTTGCTCCAGAGTAGCAGAGCTGTAGACCTTGGAACAGAGGAGAAGAGGCATCACGGAGAGACACCTCGGTCAGAATGAAGCCCTTACCTCCCATACCCTTCCAACCACACCAGAAGGAAGCCAGATCCTGACACTAGTGTGTCGGGAACTCAGTGCCACTGAGACTGCCGTCTCAGACCTCAGCCCTGTGTCCCTCACCACAGTGACTTCTCTGAATCCTGAGGAGAGAGAGAATGCATCCTCCTTGAGCCGCCAACTGGAACCTGCTTCTGTGGAACTGCTGTGACTTAAGGCTCACTGACCACTCCGAGTAACCCTGGGAGAAGCTGGACTTGCCCACTTCCAACCTACCAGGCTCAGGGCACCAGTTTTGGTTCGCCTGGAATTCACCTTATACACACTGTGCTGGTCTCAACTTCTACCCAAAGCCGTAGTTCCTCAAGGGCAAAGCCCTACCAGCTGTGTTCAGATCTCCCTCTAGGATGCCTGGCCTGGGTCAGGTATGGAGTAGAGGGATATGAGTTCAGAAAGCTCCCCCTCCCCTGCATGTGTATGAATATGTATGTGTGTAGGCTTGAGGGCCCTCAAATCTTCTGAGACCCTGTATTCTGTGTGACATTCTGGGTTGCTTGAGGACTCTGAGGTCTGCTGGCAGAGTGGTGACTTGGGTAGTCTCTGGACAGCAGGCTTCAAGAGTGGGGACAGTGGGAATCTGGAAGGGCATGACACATGACACCAAACAGTAGGCAGTGGACCCCTAGGCTCTCCTGACCTGGGAAAGAGATTAATTTGAGAGGTAAAGTAGAAATAAACTAGGCTAAGAAGGGCACAGGTCAATTTTTTTTTGAGCTGTGGAATCCATCCTCTGCCCCACTAAACCAAAACCTGCACACACGCACAGTCGAGATTTCTGCTAACCTACCCTTTATTTTCCCCCAAGAGGTTAAAGCAGAGACCCAGCAGCAGCCTCACTGAGTCAAGCACAACCAGGTGCTGGCATCGACTCAGTTCATCCTGGGGAGACACAGATCAGAAAGGTGGAAGAACCAGACCCAAAGATAGAAACGTTGCAAATGCCTGGCCCCGGTACACAGAGAGTGTAAAGGCCTTGCAGGCTTGTACATGCCCCGCCAGCACAATAGTCCTTGAGTCCAACTGTGCCTAGAAATTGCTGATGAATATGTGGGTGTTCTGTTGGTTACTTGGAGAGGTCAACCAAGCCAAGGTCAAGTTGATAGAGGTTCTACAGATTATTCAGCCAATGCTTCGTCTTGTGCCATCTCAGTAGTGGGAAGGGGGGAAAATGGCCAGATCTCAGTAGGAAAATGGACCCCTGCCAGCTGACATTCTGATAGGTATCCCCAGTTTCCCCAACCCCCCAGCTCCTTCCTCCTTTGCCCAGATTTAGAGAGTTTGTATGTTTTTGTCTTCCTGTGTTTTGGTACGCTCCCCATTTCCGCTTCGCTACTGGGAGAGGTATCTACTCGGCAGTGAAGGTCCAACAGTCTGATCTGGCTGCCCAGGGTCTCTACTTTCCTGCGGAAGTGCCACCTGCCCAGCTGGCATTCCCTACCCTTCCCAAGAATGGCTGAAGAAAACTGGGGCCCAGAGATGATAGCGACGGCCCCTAGTATTGGGCACCAAAGCCACAGTTTGGTAAATGTTAGTTGAAGTAAGAAATAATGTAGGTGGGCGGGAAAGATTAAGAGAGCCCTGAGCCCTGATAACCAAGCCCTTCCCATCCTAGGTTTCCAGGAAGCAGAATCCCGCAGTCTCCTGGTTGTACCCCGACGACCACTGGTGCCTGGGACGCTGGGGACTCTGAGAATCTCGGAGTCTTTGGGCCCGGGAGCTGTCCCTCCGTGGACAGCTCCGCCGGGAGGGACAGTGCCTAGGTCCGCAGCGCTCCACAGCGCTCCGAGGCTCAGCTCTTCGCGCCAGCTCAGGGCTGCCCAGCCCTCCTCACCTGCTCTCCTGGGCTGTTCTGCGCCGAACCGGCGCTGCTCCACACCAAGCAGGGCTGGAGGTGGCTGTGTGAGCCAGAAGGACCAGGGGAGGGGGTGGCAGCAGCGCCAGAGATAGGGGCCGCAGTCTAGGTCTGTAGTAGAGCCTCCGACGACGTTGCCGGGTCCCAGCAGCCGCCGGACTGACAGCAAGCAAACCAGCCCCACCTCTCTCAGCGCCCTCCGCTTCCTCCTCCCTCCCCTTCTTTTTTCCCTCCCCTGTCCCTCCCTCTCTTCCTCACTGTCCTCTGCTCCCCCCACCCCACGCCCCGCCCTGAGATTTCCATCTTCTGTCCTCAAAACCTGTCTCGGACAGCTTCCCGGATGAGTTCATGCGCTGGCATCGCGTTTAGGCCCTGGAAAGGGGCACAGAACATTGTCCTGCTATGCCCATCACCCCACCCCAGCCTTCCCCAGTCCCCTCGCTCCCCCATCTGCATGGTCTCCTGTGCAGCTGCTTATGTAGAACCCTGCCGGAGAGTTTGGGTCAGAAGAAAATTTGCCCCCCCC